GCAGCAGGAAAACTGAAATATAACTTTATCCATGCTACACAAGGCCTAGTACTGAGGAATAACAGCATTACATGACTTAGTATTCATACAAAAGTTTCTCATCTAGGCTATGTGAAAAAAAAAAAATATATATATATATTATATACACACATACATACATACACTCACACATACACTTTTACTAATATGTAACTGCTACTTAAACTGGCACATTCAAGGTCAAACAGACTTAAAGCAAGCAATATAATAAATGGCTGATCTATGATATATTCAGAAAAAGTGTATAATCTAAAAGATACTATTCATGGCTAACTACAGATAAACACAAAAACATGAAAAACAGGTGTGTTTGGGCTTCCTGCTACTATGTTATTAACATTACAATTGACTGTAATCTATCAGTAAACAGGGATTTGAAGAACAAGTCCCAGTCCCCATTAAAAGGAAACATCTCTGAAGCTAGGTGAGAGCATAACCCTTCCCTACCCCACATGCTTCCCTCTGTCCACGAACATGAGTGGTGATCTGCGACAGAGTCTGTGAGCAGAGGCAAGGGAGAGCAGCTGCTTGCTGTGCTCCAGCCAATCAGACAGGAGCAACACAACCAAATGTCACTGATAAGAGTAACTATCTACCTCCATTACAAGAACTGCTTAGATAAAACACAAAACTGGGGACCAGCAGTTAGCGTAATGGCTATGTCGCTGGACTCCCACGTAGTTGACTAAGGTTCGTGTCCCAGACCCGGTGGCTTACAACTCATGCCGGGCGCGTGTGCGTGCATGCCCAAGATCCCAAGAGGAGAATGGAGGAGAAGGGACTGCGGCGTGGCCATCCCCCCTGGGGGGTGATTTCTCACTTTCTGTCTCTCTGTCTCTCTCTGTCTGTCTGGCAAGTGCATGCGCCCTATAGCAAAAACCTCTCCAAAATAAAAAAACATGAACTCATCAAGTTATACTTTTAAAATGTCCACGTATAGCTAATACTAAGAAATATTCCAATATGCTACTCAGAAATTAAAACAACTGGGAATACAAGGGATTTTCAGAGTTCATGGAAAAGGCATCATGTGAAAAAACTCTGCATGAATATAAAAATTATTTGAACCAAAATAAACTTATAGTTTAATTCTTTTTTTCTTAGTTTTTGGAGAGTTTATTTTTGCTATAGGGCATATGCACTCACCAGAAAGACAGAGAGAGACAGAGACAGAAAATGAGAAATCACCCCCCGGGGGGATGGCCATGCCGCAATCCCTTCTCCTCCATTCTCCTCTCTGGATCTTGGGCACGCACGCACACATGCCCGGTGTGAGTTTAAGCTACCAGGTCTGGGACTCAAACTGTGGTCCTTGGGAGTGCAGCAAAGTAGTAAGCTTTTAAGTACCCCATATTTCTGATATGCTCTAAGAAAACTCAAGAATCCATGACTGATAGGGACTAGTAGATAGCATGGTGTAGCGGTTATGTCACTGGATTCCCACATGGCTGACCACAGTTTGAGTCCTAGACCCAGTGACTTGAAACTCATGCCAGACATGTGTACATGTGTGCCCAAAATCCCGAAAGGAGAATGGAGGAGAAGGGATGGTGGCAAGGCCATCCCTCCTGGGGGAGTGATTTCTCACTTTCACCTCTCACTGTCTCTGTCTCTCCAATGAGTGCATGCGCCCTAAGGCAAAAACCTCTAAAAAAAAAAAAAAAATCCCTGACTGAGTCCACAAATATGAAAATGAAAGTGAGAATCCATCCTCTGTAACTTTGAATGCTCTTTCTAGTAACACCTCAGAGAAGTTTACCTTTTCATTTTTCCTCCTGCTGATGATCCTGTCTAAACCATTGAAAGCACCAGATGCAACAAACAGGATGTTTGTTGTATCAACTTGTACTGTTTCTCCACGGAGCTTTCGGGAATTCTTTTCTGGAACATTGACTATTGTGCCTTCTAGTAGTTTTAATAAGCCCTAAATAAAGAATAAATCATTTATAGCATCATCATATAAGAACATTATTTATTATACCTCAGATAACAGGATTTGATGGGGAAAATAATATGTGATTATGGTCAATGAGTATAACTAATGAAAACTCCCACATTTCTATAGCTAACAGGACTCTAATGTATGTATCATATTAGTAATTGACAAGCTTATTTGAATTCCTATACATTGTAATTCAGGAAAGTCAACCTAACGGGTTGTTTCTGATGGTAAAGACATAATTGACATAAAGATAGAATTAAGACTCTATAAAAACAGTACCCACACAAATTGGAAACATTTAAAATTTGAAAACAGTACGAGATCTTTCACATAAATTAAAATTCTATCATATTCCTAATGTTAAAACTTCGAGAATACCTATATTCTGAGGTGCCTTTATAAAAAAAATTAGATGGCATGTTTTGTAACTGTAATCATACCTCTCTGATTTTGTCAAACAACATTAAAGCAATTTTCCTCATAAGTTTAGTTTATGTCATAATTAGTTACCATTAAAAGGTCAGTTGGCCAATAGATCATATGACTCTGTAAAGGATAAAATTATTTTATACCTATCTCCTAACTATGTGGAAGAAATAAGAAACATGTACATAGTTTGTTCATTGTCTAATTAGAATCAGAACTTTCTTCAAGAGTCTTCTAGAAATATTAAACAGGGCTTTTGAAATAAAAACAACAGGTTAAATTTCATTTTCTCTGTTCTTTAAAATATTTACAATTTTCTAAGAAAGGTAATTTGTTATTTAAAATCATCAATAACTTTCTTTCAAGATCTGAACTACTTTTCAATGGTACGTGGAGTTTGGGGTGGGAGAAATAAACAAAACAGAATCTAATTGAATGTGAAACCAAACGTACAATATTTGGGAGGTTGATGTATTCCCTTCCTTTTAGTGGGCTTGAACAAAATATTCAACTGCTTACTTGCTGAACGCCTTCTCCACCTACATCCCGTAACTGATGAATGCCTGGCACACTGCCAATCTTATCTACTTCATCCAGAAAGACAATTCCTATAATTTAAGGAGGATTCTATTTACAACATGAAAAAAGATATACACGATAGTTTTAGTTTTAAAAAATCCAGGGTAGCTACAGAGCAAGGTTACACAATCTTTCATACTTAACAGAAGCAATGGCCTGATGTTATAAAAATACACTGCTATCTCTCCCAGTCATCATCCTGTGTAACTGTCTTAGAATTTACTTTATGGAATATCATTTGCATATGATGGCTAAGTCTCCTTGACAATAGTAATCTACCCCACTAAAATATTCAAGTTCTTTATTATGGGAAACCCAGAGAGAGAATAGTGTGAAAGGAAGAGGTACATGCAACACTGGTATTATCAAAACTTTATGTTTTATGTTACTCTGTCCCCCTTACATTCTTGTCTTTAAAAAGTTTGGATGGAAAAAATAAATAAATAAATAAATAAAAATTAAAAAATAAAAAAAAGTTTGGATGGGAAACTGCCAAGCTCTTCAGGTAAACAAGGACAGATGACAGACGGAGAAAGGAGAAATGTAGCCTCTATGCCATCCTGCAGGGCAACAGGCTAAATGGTATCTACACTCATTCTCACTCTTCTGCCCCTGTCCCGTCCCCAAGCCTACACAAGCCCAGCCTTAGCAGTGTGAAGGGTAGTTTAAACAAGAAAGGCAACCATGGCGTCACGAACGTAACAATGGCACCTGAGCTGTTTTCCTGCTAGTGGCCTCCTTAGTGGCAATAAGGCAAAGCAAACGTTGTGGCCCTTTATCCATATGCTAGAAAGTATATGATATATCATTCCATGTCATTACGGAATTTCAGTCCTTGACTCAAAGTAAGAATTATATTATCTCTTCATATTAGACTGTTTCCCCAACAGATTATATCTGAGGACATTCTGTGCTGAAAACATACCTTGTTGTGCTTTTTCTACATTATAATTGGCATCTTGGAGCAGTTTGGCGATCACAGATTCAATATCTTCACCTACATATCCAGCCTGAGTCAAAGTCGTACAGTCACAAATAGCGAAAGGGACATCAAGGCATTTAGCTAGAGTTTGTGCCAGCAGGGTTTTACCTACAAATAGGGACAGTAACCAGAAGTTTACTGAAAATATACTGGGACACACTTTTATACAAAAACATAAAACGAATTCAAGTAATATATAATAAAAAGTCAACTGCTGCTATTTACTATTATTACTCAGACCTAGTTGTATATTATTTATATTCCTGTTAAGATGTTAGGGACTGGCCTGAAGGGCAACACCGATGCTTCAAATTCAGCTTGAATCTTATGCAGGATCACTGATTATGTGTCCAGAAAATTGGCCTGAGAGTCAGAATCCCCAAATCATAAGATACAGGCTATAGAATCATTCATTCACCATTCATTCACTCTATTTTTAAAAATGAGTAATAAATTTTTTGTTGTTTACCTGACCCAGTTGGTCCAAGCAGCAGAATATTACTTTTTTCAAGTTTTATATCATCGTGAGAAGAATCTAATACTTCACCACCTCGTTTTTCCTGAGGTATCTGTTGATTCACCTGTTGTTGCATTGATGCTCCTAAAGCATTCCCATGTGGGCTAATCCCAGCAATCTGGAGCAATTCTGTAAAAAACATTCAAAGGAATTACTAAAGCTTCATTTTAATTTACTTGAAAAAAATGTCCACAAACCCTACATCTAAAACCAAGCACACATCTAGAAAAAAATGAATTATTCTGACATTCTGTCTTACCTACACAAAAAATCTCAAATAATCTCGTGACAAATGTGTAACACACAATGACTACATGAGGAGCCTTGAGCAAAGGAAATGGAGTCCTTTTACCCTCCTTATTTAGGTAAATGTGTAAGAATGTTCCTTCATGCAACAGAGGGTAGTGAGGAAAGAATAGTGTGAGGAGTCAGAGAGCTTTAGCTTTGGGCCTTCCTTTCTCTTTAGCCACGTCATCTCGGGTACGTCACAGAAACTGTTTGTGTCTTTGTTTCCTCATCTATCCGTAAGACAGAATTGATACCTGGCCTATCAGTTACATACACATGGTTGGAAGGTATACGAATAAAACACAGATTTGGAGCTCCTTTAAAAGATAAGTAAAGGGGGACCAGCAGTTAGCATAATGGCTATGTTGCTGGACTCCCACGTGGTTGACCACGGTTCGAGTCCCAGACCTAGTGGCTTGAAACTCATGCCGGGCGCGTGTGTGTGCGTGCCTAAGATCCCGAGAGGAGAATGGAGGAAAAGGGATTGCGGCGTGGCCACCCCCCCGGGGGGTGATATCCTGCTTTCTGTCTCTCTGTCTCTCTCTGTCTGGCGAGCAGACACGCCTTATAGCAAAAAACCTCTCAAAAAAAAAAAAAAAAGGAAAAGGGTATTATTACTCCTCTTCATAAAATATGAGGAAACTGAAGTTCATAGAAGCAGACTTCCTAGAGATCAGAAACGGTAGTATCAGGCCATCAAATTAAATTTCAGCCTTTAAACCCACCCTTAGATGTCATCTTCTTCCTGTGGGATAAAAGCAGGGATGAGACTCATTGTTCCCATTTGATGATTCAGGAACTGAATGAAGCTAAGAAGTTAAATGACTGATCTAAGATACTTCAACAAATCCAACACAATTGTAGGCATGACAAACTCCAGTCCCTGTGCTTTCAGGCTTAACTATTACTATCTTACATTACCTTGATGTGGCAATACCGTCATCAAGTCTGCAGTTATTTGATTGTGGACAAGCTAAGAAAAGGGAAGGGGGAACCAGCAGTTAGGTTAATGGCTATGTCACTGGACTCCCATGTAGTCAACCACGGTTCGAGTCCTGGACCCAGTGGCTTAAAACTCATGCTGGGTGCGTGTGTGTGCGTGCCCAAATCCCAAGAGGAGAATGGAGGAGAAGGGATTGTGGTGTGCCCATCCCCCCTGGGGGGTGATTTCTTGCTTTCTGTCTCTCTGTCTCTCTCTGTCTGTCTGGTGCGTGCACATGCCCTATAACGAAAACCTCTCAAAAAAAAAAAAAAAAAAAAAAAAAAAAAAAGAAAGAAAAGGGAAGGGAACTCCAGCAATCTGGAGCAATTCTGTAAAAAACATTCAAAGGAATTACTAAAGCTTCATTTTAATTTACTTGAAAAAAATGTCCACAAACCCTACATCTAAAACCAAGCACACATCTAGAAAAAAATGAATTATTCTGACATTCTGTCTTACCTACACAAAAAATCTCAAATAATCTCGTGACAAATGTGTAACACACAATGACTACATGAGGAGCCTTGAGCAAAGGAAATGGAGTCCTTTTACCCTCCTTATTTAGGTAAATGTGTAAGAATGTTCCTTCATGCAACAGAGGGTAGTGAGGAAAGAATAGTGTGAGGAGTCAGAGAGCTTTAGCTTTGGGCCTTCCTTTCTCTTTAGCCACGTCATCTCGGGTACGTCACAGAAACTGTTTGTGTCTTTGTTTCCTCATCTATCCGTAAGACAGAATTGATACCTGGCCTATCAGTTACATACACATGGTTGGAAGGTATACGAATAAAACACAGATTTGGAGCTCCTTTAAAAGATAAGTAAAGGGGGACCAGCAGTTAGCATAATGGCTATGTTGCTGGACTCCCACGTGGGTGACCTGGTGGTGAAGACAGCTGGATCCCACATGGTGACTACGTAGTTTAAGTCCTGGACCCAATAGCTTGAAAAACACACTGGGCATGTGTATGTGTGTCCCAAAACCCTGAAAGGAGAACTGTGGGAAAAGGGTCTGCAGTGTGGTCCTCCTCCATGGGGGGAGGGTATGCTTTCTTACTTTTTCTCTCCAGCAAGTACCCTCTAGCAAATTATTAAAAAAAAATAAAAGATAAAGGTATGTCATTCTTTTTCCTTTCCTTCTTTTCTTTTTTTTCTCCTTTTTCCAGTACAAATGAAAAGAGGCAGGTTAGAGGAATAATAATCAAGGGAGAATTAGAGAGCTTCTAGTCTCAGGCTTGTTGCTATGTGGCTATGGGACCACAGTTCATCACTTAACTTTCCTGGAGCCCCTTCCTTACCCAGACATGAAAATACCAAGAGACACAACCTCGGTATTCTCTTCCTCATCTGAAACTGATTCTGTGGGTCTACCAGAGAAACCATATGTGGTAAATCTCACTATTCCTGGTCCTATCTGAATTTCTAATTTTATTGACTATCAACTGGATCTTTCCAGTCTTTTTATTAGAGAAAACACTCAAGTAGATGGGACTAATATTGCTGGTGTTACCGGTTTACCAGATGGGTACAAAAATGAATATTTGTTGGGAACCAGCAGTTAGTGTAATGGCTATGTCACTGGACTCCCATATAGTTGACTGCGGTTCGCGTCCCGGACCCGGTGGCTTAAAACTCACGCCAGGCACGTGTGCGTGCGTGCCCAAGATCCCGAGAGGAGAAGGGAGGAGAAGGGATTGCAGTGTGATCATCCCCCCTGGGGGGTGATTTCTCGCTTTCTGTCTCTCTGTCTCTGGCGAGCACACGTGCCCTATAGCGAAAACCTCTCCAAAAAAAAAAAAGAATATTTATTGTTGCTTTCTGTTGACTGAGAAAAAGAATACAGTCTTTAAGTATTATCTATATTTATAAATATCCAAATTATTCCCATTTCTTAGCATTTGAGGTATCTGTGATTGCATCATACTTGCTTATATTTTCTATGTTTATTTTTATTCTTTTTTTTTTTTTTTCATTTTCCAGCAGGCATATGTGCTCACTAGAGTCAGAGTCAGAAAGAGAAGGAGAGGAAGAAAGCACACCCCAAATGGGACACAATTATATCATAATCCCTTCTCCACAGCTATACTTTTCTGGGATCTGGGGTATGCACGCACATATTCCTGGAGTGTTTTTATAGCCACTGGGGCCAGGATTCAAATCACGAAGTTGGACATGTGCAAACAGTTTGCCTTAACTACCAGGCCATGGAGCTGGCCCACTGGATTTATCTTCAGGTGATTTCTTTTTTTGTTTGGAGAGGTTTTTTGCTATAGGGCACGTGCACTCACTAGAAAGACAGAGAGACAGAGAGACAGAAAGCTAGAAATCACCCCCAAGTGGGGATGGCCACACTGCAACTTCTTCTCCTTCATTCTCCTCTCGGGATCTTGGGCACGCACGCACACGCGCCCAGTGTGAGTTTAAGCCACCAGGTCCAAGACTCAAACTATGGTCGACTACATGGGAGTCTAGCAATATAGCCATTATGCCAACTGCTGGTCCCAGGGAGGGCGATTTCTCATTCTCACTCTCCCTCTGTCCATCTCTCTCTGTCTCTCTCTAGTAAGCATGTGCATCCTATGGCAAAAACTTAAAAAATAATTTTTTTAAAAATTATGTTCTAATGATAGAAAAAGAAACAGTTACATCAATCTTATTAACAGTTATATGTTGACCTCTAATGTGTGATCTCCGAAGGGACTTACACAAGAATAATTTTGATGAACTATGATTTGGTCTAATACCTTAACTTTAGAACCTAAAATCCCACATAGGGCAGTCTCAACTGTACATGACAATAAATTACATTCAAGCTTTTAAAATATTCATTTTCAAGTCAATCATTATGATTACATATTGCTTTGATCTACATTAGCTGCTGTTACTTGTTAGCACTTTAATTACGTTAAAATCAGGTTTTTGGGTTTTTTTTTTTTTTTTTAGTTTTTTTGCCACAAGGCACGTGCACTCACCATAGACAGAGACAGTGAGACAGTAAGAGCGAAAGTGAGAAATAGCTCCCCAAGGAGGGTGACCACATTGCAATCCCTTCTCCTCCTGGGATTTTGGGCATGCACGTACACACCCAGCATGATTTTCAAGCCACCAGTTCCAGGACTTGAACCATGACTGACCATGTGGGAGTCCAATACCTTAGTCACTAAGCCACCTACTGGCCCCGAATCACATTATTTTTTTGCATGATTTATTTTTCAAAATACTTGCTTAAGATTTTCTTTTTCTTCTTCTTCTTTTTTATTTATTACTGCCAAAGGGCATCTGAACTCAACTGAGGGGGAGTGGGAAGCACCTCAATGGCGCATGTTCAAGCCACAATCCCTTCTACATTTCTCCATCCTGTTGAGATTTTTGGATGCACACACGTCTGGTGTATTTTCAAGCCACTGGGCCAGAACTTGACCCCTGCAGTCAGGCATGTGGAATCCAGTTCCCTTAACCACTAGATCACAGGCCAGCGCAACCGTTTTCTTTCTTTTCTTTCTTTTATGCCAGAGCGTGCATGCACTCAGGGCAGGGGTGGAAATGGGGAAGGAGGACGTCCCATTGTGGCCTGGTCATTCACAATGCTTTTTTCTTCCATTTCTTCTTACTATCAGGACCCTGGGCACATACACCTCGCATGCTGCCACTAGGCTGGGTTGAAAACTGTGGTCAGTCATGTGGGATCTGGCTCCCTCTGCACAGAGCTGCAGTACAAGGCTACAGGGTGGCTCTCACCATAGACTTGATGCATTAATTCATACTAGTTTCAGTAATCATCAGCCTAAATGTGTTAACTGCATATATGAAATATATTTTTAATTATAAAATATAAATTATACATACACCTGAAACCTATTACTTAGATTATCTTTTTTTGTAATTTTCCAGAGGGAATGTGCATTGACTGGAGAAAGACACAGAAAAAGATAGAAAAAGTGAGAAAGCATCCCCATGGAGCATGGTCATCTACAATCCCTTCTCCTCTACTTCTCCCTCCTTTTGGGATTTTGGGCATGTATGCACACAGGCCTGGCATGTTTTTTGAGCCACTGGAATCAAGACTTGAATCATGTGGTTAGCCACATGAGATCCAGCCACCTTAACCATTATACCACCAAATGGTTCTTTTGTTCACTCATTCATTTATTCATTCATGTATTTATTTATTGTTTGTGACAAGGTGTGTACACATGCCAGAGAGAGAGAAAATTAGAAAGCACTTCCCAGAAAGAATAGCCATACTGCAATCCCTTCTTCATTCTCTTCTTGGGATTTTGTGCATGCATGCACACGTGCCTGGAGTGTTTTTCAAGCTGCTAGGTTCAGGAGTTGAACCAGTTATGGGGGATCTGGTCATCTTAACCACTTGCTGGTCCCAGTTCTTTAATATATAATCTCAATTCTATTGAACTTACTGTGTTTCTTAATTTTTTCATGCAAGAGAGTTGATAATTCCATAAATTCAAAAATAACTAGGAATAATTTAATTACAATTCTAAAAATTAAGTTTATTTAATTCATGAGAGACAGACAGACAAAAAGAGAGAGAGACAGAGACATTCACAAGGTCTCATGCTGAGATCCCCTTCCCCTAGCCCTCTAGCTCAACAGGATACTGGGCATGCACCAGCATATTTTCAGGATGATTAGGAATCTGAAGCCATGGTCAGCCGTGTGGCTTCCAACACCGCAGGTCAGTACGCTATCAACTGTACCACTGAGGCTGGGCCAGATAATGTAACTCTACTGCATGTAACAAATGTCATGCCAGAGTTAGTAAACCAGTTATATTCTCATGGCTCACCTGCATATATGTATACATCAAATTTAATACTGGTTAGTTCAAAGGCAAATATAAGTTTAAAACTTAGTTAATTTTCTTTCATTATTTCAATTACTAAACCAAAAGGCCACATGGATCTTTCTATGACACCTCTGGAATCTTCACCCTTTGTGCAGCAACTCCCTCCACCTCCAAAGGAATGGGTGCAAGACATCAGAAGGGCCACCTTCCCCAGCATTATTAGGTCCTTCTATACCCTCCTTCAGACCATCTGATGTTTATGGGGCAATCCTGGGCTAGGAACAGTGAACTGGGCTTACTCATAATTTGCAACACTATAATACATTTCACAAATACTAAAAAAGAACGTGTTGTTTCTAACGAAGAGTAGCTAGGCAATAATATGCCTTCCTGAAAGTTCCTTTCACTCATGAACAGGCCCATCATACTTGTAGTTTGTCAAAAAAAGGATATAAGACAGCAAATTACAGACTTAAAAAAGTACAATTCCTATTAATGTCTATATTCATAGAAGAAATTTATATTCTTCTAAGTTATGCTTTAAGAATCATCACAACAGAAAAGATAAAACTCTAATACCTGAAACAACCCAGCATATACAAACCATACAAATTACCTATGAAAAAACTATCCCAAAGCTATATATTTGATAAACTTCATGTTCAGATAATATATTTCTTTCTAGGTAATATATAAGCCAATACATGTCTGCCATCACTACTGCTGGGACACTTCACTGAGGTAAATCTCAAAAGGACAATGATTTCAGAGGAGGACTTGAGGTAGTTACTTACTTGTGAATCTGTACTCATCCTCCCGTCTTCTTATTTCTAATTCTAAGAGAGAGGATGAAAATGGCAACATGAAAATATTACAATCTGTGTGGTTTGGGGGAACAGTGTGTATCCTACTTCCTACTGACTTCTAAATGTATATAAAGAACATGTTCATTAACATTTTTCCAGCTTTTTAAAAGGATGTGTTCATTAACATTTTTTTCACCTTTTTAGATGATGAAAGAATTTATATGCTATATTCTCTCTGTATTAAAACAAAATGCTTAATGTTGGCTGGGCAGTAACTAATATTCCAATTTGTCAAATACAAAATTGGTGTCTTTTTAAAAAATGAAAGTATAATACTGTAAGTCCTCAGTAAGAGTTGAAACTCCTGGGCTAGCTACATGGCCTGGTGGTTAAAGCAGCCGGGCTCCCAAGGCCAACCCTGTGGTTCAATCCTGGACCAGCAACATGAAAAACAAGCTGGACATACATGCACATGTGCCCCAAATCCCAGCAGGATGGAGAGATGGAGAGAGATGGGGAAGGGATGACAGGTGACCCCTCCCCATGGGGGATGCTTTCTCTCTTCTCCTTGTCTTTTTCTTCTCTCTCTAGTGAGTGCCCTCTGGTAAAAAAAAAAAAAAAGAAAAAAACAACAACAACAACAAAAAAAACCTCCTCTTGCTATAAATATCATAACCTTTTGTTCTTCTAGTACCTACAACTGCTTAAAAATGTACTGACTGAAGAAACTAGAAAATTTTTTTTCTCCATGACTAGACAGTGATTTGGACGTTACAGAAATGAAGGCTTCAAGTTTTCCTTTAGTTATGATTTACACATTCTAAAAATAATGTAACTGATAGTACCACATAACTATTTTACAGTAAGTTCAACAAGTGAACAAGTGTCTTCGTTGCAATCAGTAATATAGTTAGCTACTAAAAGTAATCAGAAAGTATTTTTATAAACGTAAATATTTGGCAGAGCTCCCTTAAATTGTACACTGATGACTAAACATCTAAAACAATAGACTGTTAGTCCAAACCAGAGATCAGGGCTCTCTGGCCAACAAATAAAAATAGAAACATTCGGGGCCAGCAGGTGGCATGGTGGTTAAAGGCGCTGGATTCCCACATGGCTGACCATGGTTCGAGTCCCAGACTTGGCGGCTTGCTTTCCCCCTTTCACTCTTTCTCTCTCTCTCTGGTCAAATTTAAAAAATAATAATAAATGGAAATAAATAAATAATTCTTTAAAAAAAAATAGAAACATTCACATTTTTCTCTATTCATAGTTTTTTAATCAAATCACTCTGTTAATATAGCACACATGTTGTCCACAGTAAGACGGACAGCACATGCAGTACAATGGTATATTAGAACTCATCATGAACAGGAACTGCATTTTGCATCACAAATACACCCTCACACTGCAGTTAGGGCCAAAGGGAAGCAGGGCTAGATGTGTCGTATTAAGTTACCATCTCCACATATCTCTGACTTAGGCAAATGAAATTCTGTGACCTGAACCCAAAATAGAGTAACTCAGAGTCACACAGAGCCTTGCGATGATCTGTTCTGGGAGAACTATTAATAGTTGTGGTGAAGTGATAAAGACAATATCTCAGGCTGTACCCCAGGGGCCTTTGAACTTTTTTTTTTACTGACACAATAAGAACTTATTTATTTATTTATTTATTTTTTTTTTGAGAGGTTTTTGCTATAGAGCATGTGAGCTCGCCAGAAAGACAGAGAGAAACAGAGAGACAGAAAGTGAGAAATCACCCCCCAGGGGGTATGGCCACGCCACAATCCCTTCTTCTCCATTCTCCTCTTGGAATCTTTGGCACGCATGTACACACACCTGGCATGAGTTGAAGCCACCGGGTCCGGGACTTAAACCACGGTTGACTACATGGGAGTCCAGCAATTTGCCATTATGCCAACTGCTGGTCCCAAGAACTGTTTTACTCTGTAACTCAGAATGTGTTATTTTGTGCACATATAATTGAAAGAAAAAGTTTTAAGAAACAATATTTTCCTTAACTACAAGTGACTATACTCTGTTATTTTCTATTCACACCTATTAAAAATCTTTTTAAACACTCTTGGTGACTTACCAAAAAGATGTCATGTTAACTGACCTGCACTTTGAAAAAAGCTGCACTTGGGACCAGCAGTTAGCGTAATGGCTATGTCACTGGACTCCCATGTAGTCGACCGTGGTTCAAGTCCCAGACCCAGTGGCTTAAACTCACACCGGGCGTGTGTGTGTGCCCAAGATCTCGAGAGGAGAATGGAGGAGAAGGGATTGCGGAGTGGCCATCCCCCGGGGGGGTGATTTCTCGCTTTCTGTCTCTCTCTCTCTCTCTGGCAAGTGCATGTGCCTATAGCAAAAACCTCTCCAAAAAAAAAAAAAAAAGCTGCACTATCCTTAAAAAAAGCTTTTTTCAGGACCAGAAGATGGCGTAATGGTTACATCGCTAGACTCCCATGTAGTCAACCACAATTTGAGTACCAGGCCCAGAAGCTTAAAACTCATGTCAGGCACGTGTATATTTGTGTCCAACATCCCAAGAGAATAGAGGAGAAGGGACTGTGGTGTGGTCATCCCCCCTGGGTAGGTAATTTCTCACTTTCTGTCTCTCCGGCGAGCCCACACGCTCTACAGAAAAACTCTCTCCACTCCCCCCCAAATTTTTCAATTAAAAAATAAAATACATTTTAAAATGAAAGCAAGGAATTACAAAAAAAACATTACTTCTAAGCATAATAATCTCTACTTTGGTCAATTATCAAAAACACTAACCTCTGGGTGTTAATGATGTCTGCTTCTCAACCTCTGCTTGCTGTCTCAGATTAGCTGGGATATTATTATATATTCTCTTATAATGATTGTACACAGCAACTGAAAGCACCTTCTTAGCAAATGACTGGCCAACAACATACTTATCGAGGTAGTTATAAATCTGAAAAATGATTAGGTATGAATAATTTTCTGAGTTACCACAAAAGCACTTAACATTGAGCATATTTGCTTATAGTTTTAAATAATTTACAAAGACCCTGGTTAAAAAGTAAATGCAAGAGCACAATACATTACACAGCAATGATTCAGAGGCCCTAAACTTTAAGTAAATACAAACACAATTCATTTGTTCTCTAGCTTTACAAAGTTATCATTGTATTCTACCAGTGGTATGCTAGTTTCTATTTTACCAACGATGACATCAAACCCAACTTTAAAAAAAAAGTTAGTATTGGGACCAGCAGTTGGCGTAATGGCTATGTTGCTGGACTCCCAAGTAGCCGACCCGTTCAAGTCCTGGACCCGGTGGCTTAAACTCACATCAGGTGCGTGTATATGTGTGTTCAAGAGCTCAAGAGGAGAATGGAGGAGAAGGGATTGCGGTGTGGCTATCCTCCCTGGGGGGTGATTTCTTGCTTTCTGTCTCTCTGTCTCTCTGTCTTTTTGGCAAGTGCACGCACCCTATAGCAAAAACCTCTCTAAAAAAAAAAAAAAGGTTAGTATTAATTAATATTATACATGCTACTGTGGGACTAAATATATCAGCATTAATATTAATCACTAAAATAAATCTTTTCTATACCTCCCTCAAACATACAAATAATAATCTTCATAAAGACAATTATAAAACTACTCTTTTGCTTTTTTTTTTTGGAGAGGTTTTCGCTATAGGGCGTGTGTGCTCGCCAGACAGACAGAGAGAGACAGAGAGACAGAAAGCGAGAAATCACCCCCCAGGGGGAATGGTCACGCCCCAATCCCTTCTCCTCCATTCTCCTCTTGGGATCTTGGGCACGTACGCACATGCGCCTGGCGAGAGTTCTAAGCCACTGGGTCCGGGACGCGAACCGCAGTCGACTACGTGGGAATCCAGCGACATAGCCATTACACTAACTGCTGGTTCCCTCTTTTGCTTTTTTCAGAAATACAAATTATATAATCAAAATCCATTATGCTACTAGTATTTTTATCTAAATTTTAAGTTTTTGTCATAATGTGCATGTGCTTGCTAGAGAGAAACAGAGAAAAGGAAAGTGAGAAACCACCCCATCAGGGGATGGCCATGTCACAATCCCTTCCATGCTCTTCTCAGAAGTTTGGGCGTCTATGCATACGTGCCCAGTGTGATTTTCAAGCCTCTGGGTCTGGAACTTGAACCATGGTCAACCATGTGCAAATCCAGCACCTTAACCACTACTCCACCTCCTGGCTCCTTGTAGCAATGTTTTTTTTTTTTATTTTTTTTTTTTATTTTTATTATCATTATAATCTTCTTTATATTACATTGGATTACATATAACTTTACATTGTAAGTAGCAATGTTTTAATACTCACAGACATTTAGCTTTTTCTCAGATATTAACTGAGAGTTATTCAGATTTTAACTGTACAGTTACTTATCTAAGTGACCATCTAAAAGCCTTATTCTTTTTTTTTTTTTTTGAGAGATTTTCACTGTAGGGCGCGTGCGCTCGCCAGACAGACAGAGAGAGACATAGAGACAGAAAGCGAGAAATCACCCCCCAGGGGGATGGTCACGCCGCAATCCCTTCTCCTCCATTCTCCTCTCGGGATCTTGGGCACGCATGCACACGCGCCTGGCATGAGTTTTAAGCCACCGGGTCCGGGACACGAACCGCGGTTGACTACGTGGGAGTCCAGCGACATAGCCATTACGCTAACTGCTGGTTCCCTAAAAGCCTTGTTCTTAATAGCAGCTAAAGTTCTAGTCTACATCTGGAACAGCTGGAACCAGGGATAAATTCCTTCAGCCTTTAGTGAATAGAGGTATACTGTTAATGTTTACCAGTCTTTGAAAATAGCTTAATTCTGTATTTATTTTCTAGAACTTTAACTTAGCTGTCTAAAGTCTACACAAGTAAGTGAATATAAGGCTTAAGAATTACATTTCCCAACACACTATTCATTTTTGCATGACAAATCAGTTATTGACCATACGCATTATAGTTTTTTAAAATCTTATTCCTCGCAAATTATGCCCATGAATTATTAAAACTGCCACAGCACGTCTGGAGGTAGATAAATGCTCTGGTACCAAAACACGGAGAAGGAGGATACATGCGGCAGAGTAGAAATACCTGAAGTGGGCAAACGCCTGAGACACAGTCACAGTGGAGAGCACAGCCATGGGGCGGAGCTCTCTAACAGCACACAGCAAGTGCCCCAACGGAGATGGCAGTACGTGAGGCCATGTGTCACCCCACAAAGCCACAGTGCTCGCCATGGCAGCTCTGGCATATCAGCTATGCAAATATTCCTTGCTTACACTATTAGACTAAAGGCCATTTTACCATGAAATAGACTATTACTACGGGTTGGTATGATTTAGGGTCCCAAGCTAACAAAAATAAATCAACAGCTGCTCTACTGTAAGGATATTATTTCAGATTAACTTGGTATTAAGACCATTTTAATAATCTGTCAACTGTATTTCACTGTTCCTGAATATTATAATCATGCTTCAGAAAAAAAAGACTCCATATCAAAATCTCAAGTATCAACTATCAACAACAATCTAGCAAGACATCATCTATATTAAGAACTTCTAATACTTGTTTAGATACTAATATTAAAATTCAGTGTAGGGCCAGCAGGTGGCATGGTGGTTGAGCTGGCTGAATCCCACATGACTGACTGCATGGTTCAAGTCCTGGACCTGGTTGCTTGAAAAACACACTGGGCACATGAATGTGCATGGCCAAAATACTGAGCATTGAAGAGAGAAGAGATTGTGGCATAGCCATTCCCCCAAGAGATGATTCCTCACTTTCTCTGTCTCTCATTCTCTTATCTCTCTCTAGTGAGCACATGTGCCTTATAGCAAACTATTAAAAAATACTCGTATCACAGTGGTTAAGTAGGGAGCCAACCACAGTTCAAATCCTGGCCCCAACAGCTTAGAAAATATGCCAGATACATGTGTGTGGGTACTCAAAATCCTGATGGGGTGGAGAAATGGAGGAAAAAGGATTGTGATGTGACCATGCCCCATTTTTTTTTTTTTTGCTACAGGGTACGTGCGCTAGCCAGAGAGCCAGAGAGACAGAAAGCGAGAAATCACCCCCCAGGGGAATGGCCACGCTGCAATCCCTTCTCCTCCACTCTCCTCTCGGGATCTTGGGCACGCATGCACACACGCCAGGCGTGAGTTTAAGCCACCAGGTCCGAGAATCGAACCACAGTCGACTACATGGGAGTCCAGCGACATAGCCATTACGCTAACTGCTGGTCCCAACCATGCCCCATTTGAAGGGGAGTTCTCTCTGTCTCTGTCTCTCTTACAACCATATATGTGCCATCTGGTAGTAAAAAAATAAAACTAAAATTAAAAACTAAACTAAAAAATAAAAAACAGAATGCAATGTAAACTGGAAAAAGAGTAGCAATGAAATGTTTTCAGGATAAAATGCTTAATTATAAGACTAAACTAAGACCTATACCTTTTTGGGGGGAGGAGGCGGTTTCTGTTGGAATGCCAATTTTACAGCTTCTGCTGCTGATTCGGGTTCTTTAATTATGCTTTTCTTTGAGTCTGCTTCCGACAGCACAACAAAAAAATGATGACATTTTTCACACTTGACAAAACGGGTGGATGCTGTAAAAGAAAACAGGGTTAATATGGGAAGATAAATAATTCCATTAGTATTTAAAGACTCTGTAAATGAAAACTGCATTTTTCAAAAAAGAGGCTTACAGTTCATTCCATCAGCTACGCAAACAGCCTGGCTGATATACTAGGTACACTGCAAAGACAGAAGCCTTCAGCAAACTACCTTTGGATCATTTCCTCTAGGTTCTTTCATTTTGTAATGATATATATCATTCGGGGACGTCTGTCTGCAATTCTTTCAACTTCCCATTCACTAAAGATAATTTCAAAAGTGACTGGGAATCTGAGTATTCAATTTTACTGAAATATTTTAATGAATAAAGTGTAATAGATTAACCCATTTTGTCATCATTTAATCATGAAAAATTTCAAACACAGAGTTGAGAGATAAATTTATTTCAACCCCTCAAAATGTAAAAAGTCCATTAATTTGGGTCTCTCAAACCTATAAACATTTTTAAAACCTCAACTTTGTAAATACCAGCATTACCTCATACTTTCTTACTTTACTCCTCCTCTGTTAATTCCTATTTCCTTGACTGGAAAACCTCTTTAAAAAAAACTAACAAAATAACAACTTTTCCAGCAATACTGATTTGATTCAAAGAGTATCATACAGCTTTAGAAGACAGAGCTCTTCTCGGTACCTGTAATTACCATCCCCGTCAATGAGAAACACAGCCAATGCCTTTATTTCATCATGAGCACGATTTACAACTGTGGTAAGCAGGGCAAGGATTAAAGGGCAGAGCGGCTCTGGTCTAGCTGAGACTGTGTAACAGGAAAATCTGGCCCGAGAACATAGCACAAAATATTTCTCTATGGAAATTAGGTCAA